CCCATGAGAGATGTTTCACGTATGAGCGTACGAAGAATATCTCGAACAGCTTTTTCTAAATCATCAAAATCTGTTGTACTCGAAGCTAAAAGTGAAGCAGCTGATTCAATCCAATCTCGAGTTGGTTCTCGTGGTTTAAAATTTAGAATCATATATGAGAAGAGATTGTGAAGTCGTACAAAATGACGACAACCAACATAACGTGCATTGATCAGTTCACGTTCATCGGGATGTAGCCGTTTCAAATCGTTTACACTTAAATATGCTCGCCAAGTGACTGTTTTCTTACGAGGCCATTCATTATAGGAATTTTCAATTTCCTCATATGTGTGACCATATCGTTCGAGTGTAAAAATAAAGTCGATTTCCGATCGGTAACTTGCATATTGACAAAGAATCTTGTGAAAATCACGGATATAATTTTTATAGGTATCTCGAAGAGCTCGAGGATCGAGTAATTTGTATCGTTCTTGTTCCTCATCGTATTGACATTGAGCTTTATCAAGTTCATCTTGAATTTTCTCTCTTAATTTTGGCAATGCTGAACGAAATGACTACGTAGAAAAAATTTTCAATTTCACAAAAACGTCCAAGCAGAAGTGTTAAAAATAAAAATTGCGCAACTTACTTTGAGCCAGAGTGATTGAATTTGATTTCGTACAGCGTCGATGCCAATAAGTTTCCGATATTTTTCATTGAAACGTTGATAACCATCTGCTGATTCAACACTCTTTTGATTCATTTTCTCAATCCATCTGTCTATTTCTTGCTGTTCTCGACGTGGTAAATCCCGAAGATAGGCAACATTATCATCAAACGATCGTTCTACCATTGAATATCCATCAAAAATCATATTAGTGAAGAAAGAAGGACCAAAATCTTGTAATTGCTTTGACATTTCATTATTGGCTGCAGTTCCATTGGTAAAATTCAACATAAACGAGTCAAATTTCGTGTGAATAGTAATCATATTTTCATGGTAATTGGGTCGTGCTGATAAAGATGAATCAGAACTTATTTGTTTCTTACAAAGTTCATCAATGACACGTGCTCCATGACTATTATCAGTAATTTGTGTCGTCTCTTTCAATAGAACAATGGAGAATCGAGGATTACGTACAAAAGCTTCGGCTATTTTCTCTACTGCTTTTCGATTTTCAGCCACTTTATCACCACCAACTAGACCAGGTAGATCAAGAATTTCAAAATCCGTATATTCAGCACTTTCAATTTCGATCCATTCAGGTTCTAATCGAAAGCCACCTGTTGCGGAACATTCTTCTTGAATACGTTTCATTAACTTTTCTAAATAATTTGCTAGTTGAGGGGCAGTAATACCTCTTGGTCGAATAATACGAAGTTCACCAATTGGTAACGTTGGATTGTAGACAAGTCGATAAGCTACTGGACAACGTGTTGCAACTCCTGTCTGAGAGAATGAACAAGGAAATCGAAGAAAATTTTGTACGAGCATTGATTTGCCGGTTGATGTTTCACCGACAAGAACCAATTGAGGTACTTCGAGTTTGTCTTCGACATTGTATTTTTTAGCAATCGCTCGAAGTTGTGTATAAGCTTCGAATGCAGTTCGATCAATAACAAGTTTACTATCGGTAGAAGATGCCATTTTTGAATGAAGTTTTCTATTGAAGTTCTTCTAAATGAAATAAAAATTACAGAGAAAAGTAAGTTGCTTTTATAGTATTACAATACAAAACGCACACTCTATCTACAAGTCTTACTCATAATTTTGTTGTTTGTCTTGAAGATAAAATATATTAATATCATCATTATCGGAGAACATGATACGTTCGTGAAGAACTGGAAAGAACCAACAAAAAAAAAGTTGTATTCAGCTTATCTTCAAAATAAGCTCTTAGATTTTTAAAATTTTTACCTAGCCTCAATCATTTTTATCTATGTTTATTTAAAATAGAAGATGATTTAAATAAATATGGTGTTAGAATAAGAAGTAATGCTGTGACGAATCGATTATTTGGATTGGTTTTTGTTTCAGGAACCATATTAGAACATACAGACTTTTATCTCGAAATTTCTTTATCTTTATATTAATCATCTGACAGTGTCACAACATGACGATAAAGTTGTTATCAAAAATATAATATTTGTCTTTTTCTTGTTTGTTTCATCTAGCATATAACTATAATATCAAAAGAAAAAGAAAAACATTTTCAAAAGAGGGTGTGGGTGTGGGTGTTCTCAATCTTGCAATCCGACCCACACCCTCAAATTTGAGAAATTCGTTAGGTCTTAAAATTTGACTGCATTCTTAAAATGATTAGCTCTACAAAATGGGATAATTTTCATCGAAATCTAAAATTATCGATTGAGCTCGATCGGGCGTAGCTCTCCTGCAGTAATTCTTAAAAACATAACGAAAACACATTTTGCAAGTATATCATTGACCTTAAAACAAAAGCAAATAAGTTGGTTCAAGGATTGGCTTCAGAAGGAAATAGATACACGAGTCCAAATCAAGGGAATCAATTAAAAAACAAAGAACCTGTTCAGATGATGCGAATGATGGTACGAACTATTCATCCTGTAGAACGACACAATGGAAGACAATGTGGTGGATAATCTTATCGATGACAACGAGAGACTTTTCAATATTGTTAAAATGGATTGAAATTTTTAAAGTCTTTCGTGGAATTCTTACTTTGAAGTGCCAATAGATGGATTATATGATGTTCAATACATAAGAATAAACGTCATAAAACAACTAATGCATTATTGGATTCATTAAGTGCCATATTTGACGTACTGTATTACTTGTCTAAGATATAAGGGTGTCTGAAGAAAATTCGTTTCTTTATTTTAACATTTGAAAAGGGGATTTAGTTTCTTCTGAAGCACAACAGACTTTAATTTCCATTCATCAATGAGCTCAACATTCATATATCCACATTTGATACATTTATTATTGAACAAACAAATCAAAATTATGTACTAAACGAGTACGAAAAAAAAATTGTACATTAATTCGAATATCTGAAAAAGTTTGAAATAACAAATAGAAAAAGATCCAATAGAATTTAACGACTTGGATACCCTAAAAACTTTTTATTGATTATCACCACCTGGAAGCCGAGCAATAAGGTGGAGTGTACTTTCGTTTTGAATGTCATAATCACTTAATGTTCGCTCACATACGAGTTGTTTTCCGATAAATATGAGTTTTTGTTGATCAGGTGGAATCTCGGTTTTATCTTCGATTTTAAGTCTAACTTTATCGATAGTGTCACTTGGTTCGACCTCGAGTGTAATTATTTTGCCGGTAAGAGTTTTAACAAAGATTTGCATTGTTATTGTGTAATAGTAAGCAGATTAAAAAAAAGAAGAAATAAATATATGCTTAACAAGAATGAATAAAGTCATGTGAGAAATATTGCTGCTTTTATATTATATATATCATGAGAATGAAGCAGCACTAGGTCGTTCTAGACAATGGTTGGAGAATTCCGTTATAATAATAATGACGCACAGTAAACTATGACAGGTAAAGAAGATAAAGGAATAAAACGAAAAAAAGACTGACGATCGAAACAAACCAAAAACATATTATTGGTAATCATCGATATGAATCATATTTGAATCGTAAACTACCAATTACAATGGTTTCGATTTCATCTTCGACCTCTTATTATTACCCAAAAAAAGATTGAGTAAGTAACTGGCAATGACTGAGATAAGTGATTCATCGAATCAACAGAAAACTATGTACTTCAGATGGCGCTAGAAACTTCACATTGTCTAAGAAATATTGGATGTTGCTACTCGATGTGTTGAAAGGAAATAAAACTTTTCTTATATTTTTTTGTTCTGGAAATTTACTAAATTATCAAATATACGTATGGGTAACGGTCGGACTGAGGTAAGATGTTTTTCTTCGTTTACGGCACGCCCATACCCATACCCTTCATTGTTGACCACTAATTATTTAATTGAGCAAACTTTTCATTAAGATTAAAATTTACTAAAAGAAATTATTTAATAATAACAAAATTTTCCCACCGTATGAAAACGTTCCTCAGCTCGTAATTCTTAATAATGATCGAGATTTATCTGTTTAGTACAGTAATAACAATCTTCAAAATGGTTTTGTAATTCTATTAAAAAAAGAAACCTTAGTATTCATTATAATGACAAAATAATGAAGGCGTAAGCGTAGATGAAGAACTGGTTTGATTTCGGTATTTCTCTATAACAATACTGTGAAAGTTTCAAAAACTATTATGTAAAATATCTATATTTTTCTTCTACTATAGAGGGAAGCTCTGTTGTTCCCATGTAAATTCAATGTTTTTTTCCCTAAAGATGCTACATTGTATTCTAGTAAAAATCCTTAAAGAATTTGAGTTCGTATTGAGATTTAAGAGAGCTATTGATTTTTTAATATATATATTTATCAGAACTCTGCATAGGATTCGAAGTTTTCTGAAAAGCTATGTTTTTGAACTACTTTCTTAAGACTACCTCTATTTAAAAGTCTCATATACAGTAAGTTGTAAATTTTCAAAAATAGACATTTTTCGAACCGTAGACAATAATACAAGAATATTTTGAAAAGTTCATATCTCTAAGATACAAAGTTTATAAAACCCGAAACTTTTCATACAACTATATTGCATTGAAGACCTTCAAATAGAAACAATTTCAAGAAAAAAATTCAAAAACATAACTTTCAAAAATCTGGAGTTCTACACGAGCCTTTGATAAATAGACATTTAAAAAATTTAATAGCTCGGCCAAATCTCAATAGGAACTCAAATATTTTCAACATTTTCACTAGAATACTATGTAGTATTTATAGGTAAATAATCATTGAAATCAGATCGAACATATGGAGAGATTTCTTCATAAGTAAGATGATTATGAGTACTTCGATTATAACAAATAGAGGACGAGTTGTGATCGGGATAATAGTTGTTCTTAGTTAATGCTTCATTCATAGCAATTTTTGATCTCAATTAATTTTAGTTATAATCATTCTCTAGTCCATTTATATCTAGTGTATTCCGATGTTGTCAATTAGAGAGTGGGAACTGAATACTTTTTTTTGCTCATGTGTATTCCTATTTTAGAAAGATTATATTCCAATTAGCTAATCTTTTAGTTCTTACATTTCATAAAGAAATTCTTTTTCGAAACTATATGAATCATGTAAACATTGATTAATAGTTGTAATCATAGAAAATTTACTATTGAATCTTTTTCTCGATTTATAATAAACAATCATTTGTCATAATATTATTGTTGTCTAGAGAAAACATTCTATGTCATATATGTCTACTTCCGATAAAGGATCCGACTGAAGTTATTCCATTACTTTTGTATGCATATTTTGTGTATTTAGAGAGGATTTTTAGATCTGAATAATCTCAAATAAAAAGGATTCTGATCCATTAGGCTCTCTCTATAGAATTACAAAGAGCTTCGTTGATTTTCACCAAAGAATCAGATTTTGAAAGCACTATTGAACGAAGAATTCTCGAATTGATAGTTTGTTTACGAGTAGGTCACTATTTAGATATTCTTAGAATCACGAGACCTACTTATCAATCATATTTCAAGTAATACATTCTTGATTCAGTTATATTGTCAATATCCTATCGTTTCGTAAAGGTCCAACAAAACTATCGTAATTCTATAGAGAAAGTCTATAGATCAGAATCTTTTGAAAGATTGTCCTAATCTAGAGCTCCTCTCTATATCTCATAAATATAAGTAAAAACGTATAAAATCACATCGAACGATTTCCATGCTCGTAACTGTAATTAGGTTTAATTAAAAATCGAAATTAAAAGCATTATGATCATGTCAATGAGAAACTGAATAAAAACAATGTAAAAAAATTGCTTTCAATTATATCAAATATTTCTATAAGATTTCTATTCTTTAAAAGTGTAATAGCCTTTACTCAATTCGCTATCTTCTGTATTAGTAATAATTTTGTTTAAATGTTTTCTTTATATGAATGTAATTGTTCAAAATGAGTTTTGCGTCGTTTGCAGATATTCTAAATAAATATATAAATCATCATTATTTTCTTTTCTTTTACTTGCTTTTCTATTGTTGTTAATCGTGTAAATTGTTGAAGAGTGATAAAAACTTAAACATCAACATTCTCTTTTCCAAAAATCGGATTAAGAATAAATTAAACATCATCAGAGATGCAGAATCAATACCATTGTTTAAAAAATTGGTATACTGTCGATGATATAATCGAAAAATGATGCTATCGAGATTTTTCCTGTTTATTATTGCAGATTGATCGTGCTTCAAAGAATCGTAGATACAAAAAGAAGGTCTACTGTAGTCTTTCAGTGTACTCTTATCTGTGATATTTATTCTTTATTGTTAAAGGTAAAATTACAATATTGATATTATTAACAATATCTTTACTTCTCTGGGCCATCTATTTGTCTGTTTCTCCTCCTAAGCTTTTTCTCAGTTGTTTTTTTTCTACTTTCAATCATTCTAAGCGCCGATACGAAATGGAAAAAAAACTTTATGATACTCTCGTACATATATGAAATGAATGAAAATTAACGAAAAATGAACAACACATACTTACAAGTTTTGTATGGAATGAGAATAAAAATA